TGTCTAATATGAGTGTTTACTTTTAATGAGGCTGTGTGTTTATGGTAGCTGGTGATTCTGTACATTGTCCCACAGTTTTATTATAATAAAACAAGAAAGCATGTCAGGATTTTGGTTTTCCTTTCACATATTATAGCATCTAGTGAAGCAAACTGGAAAGATTAGGAGTTTTATAGCTAAGAAGATATGAGTTGAAACCTTAGCTCTGGTACTTATGTCTCAGAGTTTCAATTTCCTTTGTAACAAAATGAAAACAATACCACCAACCTGGCAGATTTGTTTTGAATCTTATATGAACAGAAGAGAAAGTTAAATGTGACTTCCCATTGTACAAAGGTGCTCCTGCAGAGGAAGACTGCATGGAAATTCTCATAATCTCCCCACTCTACTCAATATTGACCAAGCTCTTGGTTCAGCTTTCTGCCTAGAGTTCAGTACCAAACAACTGAAGAATAATCATAAGAATTTTAAAATAATAAAAAAGATGAGCTGGGAGAAAACAAAAAACAGAACTAAGGCTATTTGTTTGAAAGAAGAAAAATGTGAAAAATAAATTTTATGATCTGCTTCACTGGATGTTGTATTTTAAGAGACAGGCTTGCACTGTGAACTGATTGGGGATTAGACATGGCGAACAACCTTTTTATGCAAGACTATTTAAACTCTTTTTTATTTTTTTCACTCCTCCACCTTAAAATTTACAGCTTCACTCAGAAGAAAAAGAGAAAGCAATTTCGAATGCAGAATAGAGACAGGAAAGGAAACTTAGAAATGCGAGAGCGCATGGGTAGGGGAGTGAAAAAGAGACATGCATTAGAGTTTTAATTATTTGTTATTCTCTCAGGAAAGTAAGAAGAATCCGACTGATATTGTACATCATAACCAAAGTTGAAACAAACAAACAAAAAAATTAAATGTATCCCCTGGGTATCGTTCCCCCATTATAGAAAGAATGTAATTTTCTAGACACAACACCTCCCTCCTACTCCTGCTATTTTTTTCCTGATTTTAAAATAGCAAACCTGGCTTACCAGATAGAATCCTTGTTAGTTTTAAGAACAATTAGCTTTGCAGCTGCAAGCAAAATGATTTATGGGAATAAAGCTTAAAGCATGCTCCTTTAAATAGGTTCTTTCATTTGGATACACCTTGTGCATAAAGTGGAATGTTCTTTCTTTTTCCTGAGTAGACAAAACAAGTTAAATTAAGGAAGCACTGAGAGGTATCTGGTGCTTGTCATTGCACCGGGTAGGGAAGGGAGAGTGAGTCACTTTTCTCTCCCTGTCCAGGATTTTCAACCTCTTGTCCCAGTGGTCTCCCTGTAGCAAACTTGGATGAGCTTTATCAGAAAATGGTGGTACCTACGGAAATTTGTTCCAGGTATATCTGAACCTATATGGATGCCGATGTGGGACATCAGAGCTGGATCTTGGAGTAGCTATTTCATCTTCTCCTAAGTTCATAGCACTGATGCTCCAAACCTGAAAACAGAAACAAAAGAAAATTCTAAGCAAAAATGTCGTTTTTAAATCTTAGCTTATTTAATTAGCTTAATTCTTTGCTGCCTATTCTTTGCTTTTGTATTAACACTTTCACATTCTATGATTATTATTTTCAAAGTGGAATTCTCAAAAAAAAAATGCAAGGGCAAACAGAAGGCAGTCAAAAAATATAACTCTGCACCTCTGTACTATCTATCCTTCAGTGAATGGAAGTATAAATAATCTCAAAGATAAATAAAATATGCAATGGGTCAGAATTCAGATTCTTATATACTGCTCTCTGCAGTATATAATCAAAAGTTTTTAAAGGTAAATTTGTGGATAATGGATATTATGGAAAGTAAC